GTTACGTCTTTTCCTGTGACTATGATCGCCTATTAGTGTGAAAATTCTGCCTTTCAGTTTGGGGCATTGAATATTGCTTTAAATTCTTAAAGATTGTTAAATGTTACATTCTAATGTTGGGGTAGAAAATGCCAACAACTCTATGAACACAGGCTGAGTTCATTTACCTCTGTGGGGGGAGGGGAGGTCTCATTTTTTTTTTTTAATTTTATTTTCCTAGGCAGAGTTGCTCTGTGTAGGCCTGGCTATTCTTGGGAATTTGCCCTGTAGACCAGGCTGACCTTAAATTTAGGGCTCCCCCTGCTTCTGTCCCCCAGGTGCTGGGGTTAAAGGTGTGTTCCACCCACCATGCCCAACTTAGGAGGTGGGGTGTCAGAATTGTACTCACTATCATTTTTAGAGGTTGCTGAACAGTTTTCACCATGCATGTGTAAAATGCACACTTTGTAGGTGTGTAAAATGAACATTTGTTGGAATAAGGACCCTTTTCTCGCATCCAAGTACTAACAGGTTCATGCACAACTGTTAAAGAGTCTTTCAAGGAAAGAAAAGGTCCTGTCTACGGCCATACCACCCTGAATGCGCCCGATCTCATCTGATCTCAGAAGCTAAGCAGGGTTGAACCTGTTAGTACTGTTGTCATAAAAGTAATACATTGTGACTGGGCTTTGTTTTTGTAATTCTTATTGAAAACTTTCAGTATTTTGGTGCGTTAAGAGTCTAATGGTATCACCATCAGCCTAGGAAACACCCACAACCAGATTCAGCTAATTATGAATGTCTCTAATCTTATGTGATTTCACATAGGCCCTTTGAAGGCTGTCTGGGTATTGTTCTTGTTCAATATTTTCGTCAAATGTAGGCACAAACACAGATTTCTCTGACTTTCTTTTCCTTTATTTGAAAAAAAAATACTTTTTGATAGATGCCTCCTTTGAATTATTTAGATAATTTTAGTAGCTAACACAGTTCAGCTGTCAAGACTCTACCTCCAGTTGAGGGGTGAATGCAATCAGGAAACCACAGTTGAGAGTTTTCGTGTTGGTTTTCTTGTCTTTATGGTCCTACATTGTGTTTAAAAAGCATTTTCTTGGGAAAAAACAAATCAAGGAAATGACTCCCATGCTAATCTTACCAGTGTGATTTGTAGCCGTCTTTTACCGCATTTGAACGGTTTTTACGCCACAGGCAAATCAGATGTGCCCCGTGTGCCTTGCTGTTTCTTTGTAGACATTAGTGGGCATTTCCCTAGGAGGAAAAATCTGTGTTATCCAGAGCTTGCATCTGCATCTTACTCCTGTTTGCCCAGTGTTCTAGAGGCCGTTGCCATGTACTGAGCAGACTCACTCAGGAGACCCTCAAGGTTCCAGTATTTTCACTGAGAGCCGCCTTTGGAACTCTGGTGGTATCTCGGTGAAAGCTGGAGTTACTGGAAGGTGCTTATTATTTTTAAAGGTATAGAATGCTTTTTGTTTTATGTTTTCCATTACTAAGGTTAGAGTAGTGCTTAGAGGATTGTTTCCCTCATGGTTGCAGGTTTTACACACCAGCAATCTTGAACCTATTATTTAAGTTTCCAATTTTCATTAAGAGAATTAACATAAAGACACAACGAACAATATAGAGATGAAAAGATGAGTTTAGACTTCGTTTAAAAAAATAGAGATTTAGTATTCTTGATGCTAAGATTCTGTTTAGTTGTATTACTCTAACTTTAGTTGTCCTGATAGTTCCTGAAAATGAGCACTAGCCGGGCAGTGGTAGCGCACATGGGGAGGCAGAGTCAGGTGGATCTCTGTAAATTCAAGGCCAGCATGGTCTACAGAGCCAGTTCTAGGATAGCCAGGGCCACACAAAGAAACCCTGTTGGGGGGGGGGGGTTGGAGAAAGAAAAGAAAAACCAGTTCTAGTATTTCCAGAAGTGAGCAATTGCCCCGGCAGTGTTGTCTGTGGCTGCTGCCTTTCGAGATCTCATGGGGCTCTAAGCATCTCTCTTCCTGGTTGCTTTGAAATCTTGTTCTTCCGCTCCGCTTCATACTCCCTTGGAAGACCCTAATGTTCCAATGAAGCCATGTGTATCCGTTTATGGAGAACACGGCATGAACAGCCTGTTCTGTGATAGTCGTTAGATAGCGTCTGAGGACTTAGTTGTACTTGCAGCTACAGATTGCTGATTTTCAAGGTTAAGTCGTGTCTGAGTAGGTTATGGCTGATAGAACAGACTGGGTCTCTTAAGACACAGGCTGTTCCTCGTAGTGCTGAAGCCTGGGACATCGAGTGTGAGGTCTGGATCAGACTTCTGCTACATCTTCACATGGCCCAAGGAGCAGTGGGGTCTGCTGAGGTCTTTATAAGGTGCCAGTCTCACTCCTGAGATCTCCACCCCCAAAGCCCCACCTGCTAATCCATCACACTGGGGTCAGGAGTTCAACGTGTGTGTGGCGGAGGCGCACACACAGTGAGTACATCATGTTCTGCTACCAGGCCTTCTAATTCACATCCTTGTGGTAGATTGCTGTCATTCCTTCCTAAGAAGCCTAAAAGCCTTAACTCATTTGCCTAAATCTCATCAGATGTGAGTGAGCCTCAAGGTAAGATTTATACGGAGGCAAATTTGTCTTCAGCTCTAAGTTTAAGAAAGTTGCTGACTTTGAAAATGCAGTGGTGGGGTGGGTTTAGGTTGGTGTATCTGTCTCCAAAAGGATAAAACAAGAAAGGAAAAACAACAATAATACAATGTCTGATTTAAAAAAAAAAAAAAGCCAAAACCTAACAAATGCAATGATACTTTAGACTCCTGTGATTCTCTTTAGCTCAGAACCTTGCCATCTAGGTCCACTGGTAAGTTCACCCACAGCTGCTCACAGAAGTTCCGTGGTGGCTGTCTGCCAGGGTCCCAGCCAGACAGGGCAGAGCGTGGAAGTGTATTTCATTGCGCTACTTTCCCACTGAATATTCATATTTATTTACTGTCGGTCAGCTGACTGACTGTTATGCTAAGGACAGTCTGATGTTTTAATCGGTCACATAGAAGACCATCGTCCAGTGGTCCCAGCCTCGTGCATTAAGATGAAAACAATTGCATACTCTCTGACAACCCATGCCTTATTGTTAATGGAAAGAATAGCTTCATGTCCTTCATCTTAAATGGCAAGATCACGAGCGGTGTCCCAGCACTTTAGGAAGCTGAGGGAAGAATTGCTGGAGTCTGGGATCAGTCTGGGTTAGAGAGAGGAGTGTGCATATACCTCCCCCCAAAATAGAGAACAGTGTTTACTTACACCTCTTACTTACATGACCTCTGTCAAAGCAACCCCAAGGTCAGATGGCTGTGCTGCTCACTGTGAGAGGGGACAGCAGATTCTGAAAGACTGGACCCTTTGGCTTTGATGTTGAGGCAGTGCTGCCTGTTCCTTAAGAGTTCGTAGCATTGTACAGTGGATTGAATTATATCACCTTCCCACCCCAGTTCTCCAAAAGATGTAGTGGAAATCTTAATCCCCGTAACTAGGAATGTGACGTTAAGAAACACGAAGGTCTGCTGACCAAAGCTAGAACTAGAAAGGAGGAGATCACTTTTTAGAGTAAATTTTAATGTCATTCCATTGTTATTTTCCTAGATTCTGCTAAGAAACGTGGCTGTTACTCACTAATAGGTTGAGTATCCTTCATCCAAAATGTCACGATGTTTTCTAGACTGGAGTGTGTGTACATGTATTGCAGGACTCAAGCCTAAACACAGTTTTATGTTGTGTAATATTTTTAATGACTTTGCTCATGAAACAGCTTCATGGTGTAGAAATGTCTTTATTGTCATGTCAGCTCTGTAACTTGGATTTTGGAGCATTTTGGATTAGAGATGTTCAACCTGCAAAAAACTTTTAAAAAACAAACAGACGTGTATTTTACCCAATGATTCCAGACGTCATTCATACTGAGAAGCAATAACCTCAAGTTCAGTGCTCTGTGCTTGGATTCTGCAGAATGTATTTGCCTTGTGTTCCCCCCCCCCCCACTTTTTCTCTCACTCACCGAGAAATGTGTGGTTGGGAAAGCCACAAATTTCACCTGCTTCCTCACCTTATGAACCTAAGCTCCCCGTCTGAGCTTCTCGAGGTTTGTTGTGCAAACTGAATGTGACTGGAGGCTCCTTGCAATATACTGCGAGAATTCTTGAGCTCTGGGCACACAGGCATTGCTCTCTTTCCCTGGTTTCAGCTGTTGTGTGTTTAGTGTTCACAAGTGACAGCAGGCTGGGACTGTCCCCACCCAAACCCTTCCCAGCGGCATACCAGTAGCTTTGGGTGCACTTGGAGCTTGTCTTCAGCACATTCTCCAGGAACTACTGTGCAGCCAGGGCTGAGCTGAGAGGGGAAGGCCTAGTCCATCCCCCAGTGCTCCTGCTACCTCTTTGTAGGTTCTGTTCTTACTGACAGTTCACCTGCTGATTTGAGTAAGTCTGATCTTTTACTCAGCCGGGAGATATTTTTTCAGGGTGTTTCCATCTGCTAACCGAAAGTTGTAAATACAGAGCTCGTGATGTACCCCAGTGATAGAACAAATGCTTTTTTTTTTTGCATTATACCCGAGTTCCAGTTCTAGCTCTGCAAAATAAGCAAATCAGAAACTCAAAACTTCTTACAGTTTATAAAATCTACATATTTCACTTATCGAGGGTGTTCTGTCCATTTAAGTTGTTTTCCATTTCCCAGCATGATTGATTAATTTGGGGGTAGCATGATTTATAACCAGTGGTAAAAATGGCTTCTTCCGACAGACGTAATTACTCAGAACAAATAATACCAATATTCATATTAAAGAATAAATTCATTAAAATGTTCTTTCTTATCCCAGCCAGCGAAACTAGCCAGTGTGATAGATTTCTTTTATGAACAGTATCCTAAGAGTTTGTTCAGCTGCTCTCTTGGCCTATAGCTTGCTGTAGTCACCAGCATCCAGTTTTTAAATGTCCCTTTATTATGCTGCTGTCCCTCTCTTAGTGGGCCTTTGGAGTGACGTTGTGGGAGCTCATGACGCTGGGCCAGACGCCCTACGTGGACATCGACCCCTTTGAGATGGCCGCTTACCTAAAAGATGGTTACCGAATCGCCCAGCCAATCAACTGCCCTGATGAACTGTGAGTGCTTTGGGTCTTGGACATGAGCTTTGATGCATTTACTGTATTATTATAAAAGTAGGAAAACAAGTTCCTGTGTTCACACAGAGCCTTCCCCCTTGAGAGCGATGAGTCTTCAGATGTGACTGAGACCTGTGGAGAACCGCAGTCACTGTTGAATGCCTTAGCATCTTGTATCAATGGTGCACAATCTTAATTACTAAGAATCTAACATAATAGCGAGGAAACTGACAGTATATTATTTCAGTTTCCTGACTTTTGTTTAAACAGACATGTTTAACAAGATCCAGTACTTAGGAAAGCCTTTCTTGGGGTCCACTAAAAAGACATGTATGGTAGTGTGTGTCTGTGACCGTACCACAAGGTGACTGGAGACAAGCAGATCCCTGAAGCTCATTGACTAACGTTCATAGCTGCATCTATGAACTCAGTTAGATATCCTGCCTGAAAAAAGAAAACAATAGAGATAATACTCACTGTTGTCCTCTGGCCTACACACACACATGCATACAACCACTCAGACATGTACATAGACCACACCAGAGATCAGAAACAGAGACACAGACATATTTCTCTTTGTGATCTTGCCTTGCCAAGCGTCAGTGATGCTTCAGGAAGATGCTCTGGGCTAGCGGGTGACAGGTGCTTCTGACCTCCGGCCTCCATCACATAGCTGATCTTCTCCATCATGGCCGTGGGGTGACAGAGTCTGGGAAGTGAGTGCAGAAATGAATGTTGTCTAAGAGGCCCAAGAAGGTTTCTCTGCCAGTTCATCCAGGAATCCTGATTTCAGTTAACTCTTCCTCTGAGTTCTTTTCCCTCAGCATCCAGGATGACACAGGCTGTTGTGTTCTGTGTATTTACAAGAAACTCTGCACTTGCTAAGTATTTTGTATTCTCATGAAGAACTGAAATCCATGTGTGTAATCCAAATAACTCAGCTTCTTTTCAGTTCTAAAACTGCTAACTCCTAGTCAGATTAAGTGATTGTTACTAGCCCGTCTTTTCTACAACCACGTTTGAGCAGAAAGCATAGCTGGCGCAGAATTGACTGCAAGACACTGACTAGCCCCCTTTCCACGTCACTCCGCAGGTTTGCTGTGATGGCCTGTTGCTGGGCCTTGGACCCGGAGGAGAGGCCTAAGTTTCAGCAGCTGGTCCAGTGCCTCACAGAGTTTCATGCCGCCCTGGGAGCCTACGTCTGACCGCTCTCCCAGACCACAGCTTGGAAGAAAGTGCCTGTTGCAGATGCTTTGCCTGTAGCGCAGTGCCTGCAGAAGCACCTCTGTCTCCCAGAACACCGTGCCTTAGGAATGCTTTCAAACCTGAACTTCTAAAGACAGACTTCACGTGGAGTATTTTCTAGATACCACTTTTATTAGGTTGAACTGAAGGGGTTTTGTAAATTTTTTGGCCAAAAATTTTTTTAAAATATAGATACTTTGGACTAGGGGTGCATTCTTAAAAAAAAATAAACAGTTTTAAAAATTGTTTAGACACAGATATTTGGAATAGCTGTCTTAGTGCCAACTGCTTTATCTTTATGTTTTCTTCATTGAGGTGATATAGGTGACTCACCTTTAAAGCTGTTTTAATATTGTCACTGCTTTTGGGAATGGTTTGTCTTCAAAACATGGTACTTTTCTTAGGAAAAACAGCATAAAAAATGCCCGATTTGCCTTACACGAGGAAAGACAATATATTGGCAGAAGGAAAATTGAAGAAAAGGTAAAGAGAAAAATTTAACAACAGCAAAAGCCATAGTGCCCCTGCATAGAAAATTGCTTGTTTAGTGAACATGGCTCTGCTCTCTTGTCTAGGGAAGCAGTGGCTGCATTCATCACATCTCAGCTTTCCTGTGAGCCAGAAGAAGGCTGTGGCAGAGTCGTAGAAGCAGTGGTGGCCTTATTTATTTTTGCTCTCTGGGCAAGGAGATGATACGGTTCCAGAAAGTGAACCCTCTCTATGCCCACAGTTCCTTCTGCGTGCACCTGGGCTTGTGTACACAGAGCTGGTGCTTCGGTTGCTGTGGGCTTGGGTTGTTTTTTGTTTTTAGTTTAAATTGGTAATTTTTATGCTTCTCTTTAAGGCTGGCTTAAGTATAAATTTGTTTTTTAAAACATTTGGAAAATTAAAGAACTCATTTTATACGACGGTATTCAAATACTGCTCATAATGTGTGATTGGTGGTTGTGTCTTGGAAGTCTTTGAACATGCAACCGCTAGATAGTTGTGTTTGATCTCATGAGGGTGTGCCTCAGTTCCAGAACCCCTATAGGAGGGCAGCTGACTCTTACTGGCCTCTGTGGCGTGTGAAGTATCACACGGAGGCGTCTCTCCAGAGCCAGTAGGTGGCATGTGTTTTCATTGACCTAAGGGATAGTCAAGTGAGCCTGTAAATTGCCTGGGCCTACAGAGGCCTGCCTCTGTCCTTCCTCTCTGGGCTGTGAGGGAGAACTCAGGGCTGTTATATTAAAATAAGTCTTACGAATAAGCAGAATATCTGAAAAACAGCTCCCATAGTACAAGCTCCCACAAGCAATCAGGACCTTGATGTCCTACGCACAGTGTCCCTCACACAATCTAATATGCTAATGTTCTGCCCACACAGCTTAATGTGCTGGTATTCTATTCACACAACCTAATGTGCAGATGTTTTTGTCCACACAGACTTATGTGCTGGTGTTCTGTTCATGATGCGCTTCATCCCCACGTCTCCGTTTTAAAATGTTTCTTTTGATGTGTTTGTAGCTTGGAGATGCTTTGTTAATAACCTACATCTTAGAAGGCAGTCAACAAATCCTAGGGTGGACATCGCCTTCATAGAGCAATCAGTTCTTCCCGCCTTTTCCAACATTCAGTGCACTCTTTTTATCGTCAGATGAGAACAATGTTTAGAAGTCACAGTTCAGTGTACAAGAATTGCTTTGAAAAAAAAAAAGGCAGCTAGGTGGTGGCACACACCTTTAATCCCAGCACTCAAGAGGGAGAAGCAGGTAGATCTCTGTGAGTTCGAGGCCAGCCTGGTCTACAAAGCAAGTTCCAGGACAGCCAAGGCTGTTACACAGAGAACCCTGTCTGGGACTGGAGAGATGGCCAGTAGTTAAGTCTGCTCTCCGCTCGTCTAGAGCGCCTGAGTTAGGATCTCAGAACACAACAGCAGGTGGCTCAGTCACCTGGAACTCCAACCCCAGGCGATCCCTTTGACTTCCACAGGTGTTAGGCACACACACACACAAAGGTGTGCGTTGCGTGCACACATGTGTTTAAGGTAAAGTGAGGATGCGCTTCAGTTTGCTTTGGGATTTGTTAAGCTCTTTTGTATAGGCACATGTGTATGCTCTTTTGTTTCAGTAGGTTTTTCTGCTGAACTATTTGGAGATAGTGGCAAGGGAAGAAAAGGACAGTTCCAAGCTTTCCACAACTGATCAACCTCCAGTGGCGTGTATACCTTGTGACTACTGCTGAGCGTTATCTCCTCTCCACCCCCAGAAAAACATAGGTGTATAAAAAAGAAGCAAGTTGATGGAGCACCAGAGACAGCTGAAGGCTGTCTTTGCTGACAGTACTCTTAAAATTTTTTTGGCATAGCATCCTTGCAATGTAGCCCAGGCTAGGCTCAAAATTTGCAGCCATCCTTCTGCTTTGCTAAAAGTAAAACCACCATGTCTAGCTAGCAGTGATTTGTTTCTAAAGTAGTAAGGACATCTCTGAAACTATAAAAAAAATATATTAAGAAATAAGCACAGCTTGAAAGTTATCATCTTGGGGGCTGGAAGATGGCTCAGAGGTTAAGAGCACTGGCTGTTCTTCCAGAGGACCCTAAGTTCAATTCCCAGCAACCACATGTTGACTCAGAACCATCTATAATGAGATCTGGTGCCCTCTTCTGCCGTGCAGGCAGAACACTGTGTAGGTAATAGATAAATAAATCTTCTAAAAAGTTATCTTTAAACAAAATTTGGGGATAAACATCATCATGGTGCTGAAAGTTCCATTTGGAGTCAGCATTTCTGATTATCTTTTTTAGGTTTTGGCCTTCTGCTTTCTTGCATCCGAGAATTAGCACAGGTTATTAGGTAGAGACCTACATCATAGTGATGGCAACCAAAAAAAAGTCACTCCACAGCATCTCAGAGGAGGTGTGTTCCAGGTCCCAAATCCACAGATGCTGAAGGCCCTTAAAATGGCTTCTCTAGGTCACCAATAGACCGTGAATAGTTGCCCTGCTGTGGTCGTAGGGAACACTGAGTTGAAAATCCATACACGTTTAGTGCAGTTTCCTAAATCTTCTTGGTCTAAGGTTAGTTGAGTTCAAAGACATGGAACAGAGAGCAGGCTAACTGTGTAGTTTTACCATGGGTACACATGACTATTAGGCATTCTAGAAAAAAAAATTTTAAGAATTATTTTTATTTTATGTGTATGAGTGTTTGCCTGCTTGTATGTACTGTGTGTACCATGTATGTGCCAGGTACCTGTGGAGGCCAGAAGAGGGCGTCAGATGACCTGGAACTAGAGTTACACATGAGCCACCACGTATGTGCTGGGAATGGAACCTGGCTTCTCTGCTAGAGCAGTGACTGCTCTAACCTCTGAGCTACGTCTGCAGCCCAGGAGTTAGATTTTGTTGGGTTTTAAAAAGTAGCTTTACTGAGATATAATTGATAATCGAATTCAAAGTAGGTGGGTTTTGATATGTCCATTGTTGAATGGTCATCAACCACTGTCTAATTCAGTTTGTCTTTGGGTTTTTGTTTGTTTGTTTGTTTGTTTGAGACAGGACCTTACAGTGCAGCCCAGGAAGTTCTGACTGTGGCCCAGGCTGCTTTAACCTCTTCAACGCTGGAATAAAGTGGGGCACCATTGTATCTAGTTCTCCAGCTCAGACGTCACTCCTGAAAGAAACCCAGTGCCCATTTGCAGACGCCCACATTCCTTTCCCACTTCTTTTAAGGTTTATTTATTTATTATGTATACAGGATTCTGTCTGCATGTATACCTGCAAGCCAGAAGAGGGCACCAGATCTTATGGATGGCTGTGAGCCACCATGTGGTTGTTGGGAATTGAACTCAGGTCCTCTGGACAGGCAGCCAGTGCTCTTCATCCCTGAGCCATCTCTCCAGCCCTCCTTTCCCACTCCTAGCCTTAGACAGTTACTAATCTGCTTATCTCTCTTCTGAACCTTCCATTAAGTGGAGTCCTACAGTATAAGATCTGGTGGTAGATAGAATACTCTTGATCCCCTGGCGTGGCAGTGAGATTATAGGTGTGTGATATCATGCCCAGCTAGACATTTTATTTTAATTCTATGTGTGTGTAGGGCAGAGCTGACTTCCTCAGTTGCTCTCACTGATTGTCTAGACTAGCTGGCTAATAAGCTTCATGGATCCTCTGATCTCTTCCCAGCATTGGATTGCAGGTTTATAGGTCACACTTGGCTTTTGTGTATGTGCTGGGGATTGAACCCAGATCCTTGTGGTCCGGTGACAGGTGCTTTGCTGACTAAGCCATCCCCTCCTAACCCCTGGCGCCTAGGTCTGTCAACTTAAACTAGCTCCACGTAGTCATGAAAGTATGTGTATTTAAAGAGCACTTTAGGATTTGTCTCCAGAGAAGGGCGACTCGAGGGGGTGTTGGCCACCATTCCCAGCTTCACAGAAACGCCGGAGTTACTATTATGAGTAAGAATCCTTCGGCCCCAACTTGTCTGTAGCCAGAATGGCCTTGGCCTGACCAGGCCAGGAAGTGCAGTGCATGGTGTTTGTGTTTGAGTTCTGTGTTGGAATCTCTAGGCAGTGCCCCTTTGGCCCAGACGCCTTAGCTGAAGGAGAGGGTGGTGAGAGGGTGGAGTTGGCCTGACAGCCATCTTGGGCACCTAAAGAGATTCTTGTTTTGTGGTAAGTGCTCCCATAGGATCCTCCTCAGCCCTTCTGGGAAGGCAGGAAATGGAAGAGACAACTTGGCCTGTTGGGCTGGGTGGGAAGTTCCCTGCTCCACCTTCCCTGACCTTCAGGCCCTGCACACTTTAGGCACCCTTTGTTGTTGGCCTCGGCCTTTGGCCCGTGCTGTGCCTGTCCCTCTTGAGGAATTCTGGTCTCTTTCCACAGGATGTGGTCCTTAGGTGCATTAAAATAATATAAGATTTGGTAGAGGATATAAATAATGGATTCCCATCACCGCCTCCGCAGTCCTCCACATAGCTGTGCTTTGGAGATGGGTGGGCGCTGATAGCCTAACTCCCTCACTGTTGCTTGTAGGCATAAGGTGTGTAGCAGGCTGTTTCTTGTGTTTGTGTATTATAGGAAATGGGTGTACTTTTCCAGGAAGGAAATGAATTTGATAGGACGCTGACCTATACCCCATTAATAGTCATTTTAATAAACATCTGTCAAATGAGTAGAGATTCATGATTTTGGTTTTCTGGACCCATGGACAGCATGCTATTATTGGTTAAAAATGAGGTTTCTTCCCAAGGAGGGAAGGTTGGGAGGTA